ATATTTTACTAAGCCATATTGAAATGACCTCCTGTCATCTCAACATTTTATCCATAATAAAAAAAAAAGTGCCCGTTTCTTAAACAGAGCACAAATACCAAGCAATAATAAATAGTTCCAAACTTGTAGTAAAAGACAGAACCTCCAAGTAAACAACAAAAGCTCATACAATAAGTAATAGAAAAGGTAATAAAAATATTTCGCCTTGCCAGTACAAATGCAAACAACTTAAATCAATGTAACTTTGCTTTGCAGGGTTGAGATACAAAGAGCACCAAAATCACGGTTTGCCTGTGCGCAACAAAACCTTTGCTACGGACCGGGATGAAAGGCTGACTTCCTTCCTTTTCACATTTTGCTTAGAGTACTTCAGCCTTCTCCTCTCCCCACGAAAGACCCTCTACTGGCGGGTGGCGGGTTCCAATTTGGGGGCAACTTTGAACAAAGTTGTGGCAGTATGGAAACCAGCCTGGGGTCGGCTGGGTCACCCAGGCTCGGGGCCTCTCTCACTGGGGTCTCCTCTGCTCCAGTGCTGGCTTTTTAAACATGAAAGAGAAGCATAATGCTCTTTTCTCTGCAGACGACAGAGACACAATCGTTGTGCTTTAGGATGGCTTAGTCCTGGCATTCTGGTGACTTTGTGGAAGCTGGTGAGGGCTGGCTAGCTTTCGCAACTACAGGAGGACCACCTTGGAGGCTCCCCAGGACCTTCGGAGGGTGGCCCCCCACCCCCCACCCCCGGAAAGGGTGGCCCCCCGGGGGGTGTCCAGGTCGGGCAGGTGGGAAACTGACATCTCCGCTTTTTCTCTGTTCACTTGGCAAAGGTCAGTGGCAAAGGAGGGGAGGGCTTACGGAAACAGAAGAGCTCCCGGAAGAAAGATTTCTGCATTTGGTAACGAACTGCCCCAAAAGATGCTTGGTTATCCTTTCCTAACCTTGAAGGAATGGTTTTACAGTTCCTGAAATTAAAAAAAAAAAAAAAAAAGGCTTCCTGATATAGGTTTCATTAAAAAAAATGTTATTATTCCCTCATCCAAAAACCCACCACTTTTATTATCTTAAAGCTACTTGGCTTTACAAAAAAAAAGGGGGGGGGGACAAAGGGGGAGAAAGAAGAGAAACTAAAGAATTAAATAAAAATGAAGAGGACAAAAGAAAGGATTGACAAGGGGCTGGAGATTGGGGGGGGGGGGTAGGAAACAGAGAGGAAGGAGAGAGAGCTCTGGAAAGGCACCGAATTCATCCCAGGCCCTCGGCACTCAGAAACTGACGGACGCAGGTTTCAGCGAGAAAAGCAGCAGAGCAGGGAAGAAAGACAAGAGGCCAACACTCTCCACGAGTGCCAGGCCCTGGTGGTGACGGGGACTCCTTCCTGACACCCGGTCTCCGCTGGTCTCGCGTCCCCGGCCCCCGTGCCTGGCTGATCCACCAGCGCCTTTTGTCTGTTTAATGTTTTCTCAGGGACTAGAGGAAGCTCGGGTTTGCGTTCCTTCCTGCGCTTAAGGGCGGGCGGGAGACGGGGCGACTGGCCACAGTGGGGACAGGAGAGAAGGGGACGCTCTCCCGCTCTCTCCTAACACCTGACATCCTACAGATGGCCTCTTGGGGAACGAGAGGACTCTGTGAAATGTTACCGACATCTTTACAAAAACGGATTTCTCCACTCAACACGAATAAAGAAATTTCCCATCCGGTCTGCTGTGGCCACACCAGGGAGCCTTGATGCAAGGTTCGGGGCGTTCGGAGGAGAAGCCCTGATCCCACAGTCCTTTGTATAGGCCAATTCCGACAAAAATATATACAACTAAAATGATCTGTGAGCCAAAGCATTTAACGACTTGCTTTTTGTTTCTTTTCCTCAAAGGTTGTCAAACAACCCTTTTTCTCCTGTACAATAGGACTAAACATACAAATTTTTTTTTGCAATATTTTATCCTGCCAAATTAAAAAAATATATTATGGCAGCCTGTTTGTTTTTGTTTTTTTTTTCTTTTTATTTCCAAATTCACTAACAAAAAGGTACATTAAATCCCTTTAAAAGGACAAGCTTACAGTTAAAAAATTACAAGCTCCAGTAAAAATACAGCAAGTGCCTACATCATATGAACCAACCAATATATCCATTCCAGAGGGGGGCAGGGAGAGAAAAATAAGTAAAGGTCAGAAATGTGATTTTTTTTTTTCTGCAAAGCAATAACAATATTAAGCACTTTTTTTTCTACATACTTTTTCTACATGGTGTAGCAATCCCCTTTTAATCCCCAAATACAAGTTTCTATACATTTTTTTGAAATAAAAATTCAACACCCAAGGCAGAAAAGAATTTACTAAAACTCCGACTTTACAGTTACTGTGACAAGAACAAATTGATAGACCCACCATTTAAAATTACTGCAACATTTTCAAGGAAAAGAAAAGGGTTTTTTTTTTTTTCTTGTTTTGTAAAATGCCCAGGCATTCTCGATTATTACAAATACTGGTCCACTTGTACAGTAATCAAGAAATTTTAATATATATAATATATACTAAAACCCCGTCACCAAAAAGAAAACAATATACACGCAGCCACTGTGGCATTTTCTTATAACCTAGTAAGCAAACTTGGAAAAAAAAAAAAAGATCGCTCCAACACACATACACACAATTTTTTTTTTACCCTTGTATGTATCCAATACTGTAAACGTATTTTTAAGACAGAGTGCACTAAATTTAACTTTAGAAAAGAAATTAGCCGTTGTTCCTGAATTTTTGTTTTTCATTCAACGATATCAACGTGTAACTTGTGTCACTTGAGTTTTAATTCAGCAGTAAATCACCTCCACGCCAAATCTAAGCAGCGTTGTCCCACAAACAAAAGGGGTTGAGGGTAATTCAGCTAAGGATGTCCGCGGTTGTGCTGGGCTTATCTCTTCATTTGATTGGGTCTTATGGCATTTTCATGTCCTCTATCTTCAACCAGGATTTTTTTTTTTAATTTAATGAAAAGGAAATGTGGCTTTGTTTGTGTCTAAAGAATGTACTTTTCTTGTTTTACTCTTTTAAAAAGTCTTTTCATTTTCAAAAAAAAAAAAAAAGTTTTGCATTGGTCTCAAGAGACTCAAATAGGAAGATCAGTTTTCAAGGCACTCACATCGAATTGAATGGCAGTAGAAAAACCGTCCAATAAATTATTTTATTTTCTTCTTTATAGTGTCAGTATTGTGAATGCCACGCTTAGCAACACTGACACTCAATCTCAGCCGTCCTTACAGGTTAACCCACCTCTGGGCCAAAGACAAGAATATGCTGCAATTTCTTGTTTAGAAGCCATTTAATTTAAATGCAAACAAAAGCTTTAAAGTGCGGGTCAACAGAATTCGAATGTCTAATCTTGACAGTTCAATGTTTAGTACCTTCCAACCTAATGGGATAGGGGAAAAAAAAAAATTGGGGAAGTAGCGCTGGGCACCTTCGGATGGAACTCTTTCCCTGCTTTTCCGGTCAAAGGGGAACAGAAATTCGCAAGATCCCCCCCCCCCAAACCCCCCTCCATACAATGTCATCAGTGCGCATTCAATGAGAGAATACCGCCTTCTCTCCGTTCACCTCATTGGGGCACTTGTCTGCTTGAGACATGGTCAATCATCACTGGTAGAAACATACGACTTGGGATTTTTGTGGCGGGGGGTGGTGATGAAGAGAGAGAGAGAGAGAGAAGCCATCAAGCCAGAAGAAGCCTGAAAGAACACCACTGGTCCCTTCCTTTCTATGTCACTGCAGGTCACCTCCATCTACCCAAGAAAAGTACCCTCGGCCCGTTTTATTAAGCCTAATCCACAGCCAAGAGCGCAGATGGCATCCCAGGCACAAGGACACTCCGAGGAAAGGACAGTACCTACTGGTGATGCACAACCAGAGCATGCTCTCGGGCCATCTCCCCGGCAGCTCTCAAAAATTCCTATTTCTCTGGCAGTGCTGAGTTTCATGGGGGGGGGGTCCTCTAGCTCTCCCCCCACCACCACCACCACTGAAACGTTTCCTCATAAAATGTAAAGGTTTGAAATCAACACAGGAAAGGCCTCTGTGACTCAGGACAGGCCATCAGTGCTACATCTCCATTCTGATTCTGAAACAAAGTGCTACAACTTTAAAGATTGTTATCCGCTGTACATCCACTCCCCCCCCCACCCAACCCTCCCCCAAAGAAACCCCCAGCATGCCACCCTTTATTTCAGGACCAAAGGAAAAGAAACAAGGTAAAAAAAAAAAAAAAAAAAAAAAACTACAAAAAAAGTAAACAACTTCAAAAGTCATTTTAAGTGTTGGCTTCTTCACAAGAAATTACACATGCTTAGCTTAAAATCTCAAAAAAGCAGCGCCCTCCCCCCCAAATTATAATTTAAAAGATAAGCTTCCCTTCTCTATCGCTTGGGAGTCATTGCTTTAGGCTACTACTGGGTTAAAAAAAAAAAAAGAAAAAAAAAAAGAAGCAAACAACCACCAAAAAAAAAAAAAAAACCAAAAACAAAACCAAAAATAAAAAATAAAAATAAAATAAAATTAATAACAACAATCAACCAACCAACCAACCAACCAAAAAGAAAACAAGGAGGGATGGATACCCAACAAAAATCTCTGGAAAGAACTTCAACAGAAAGAATAATAATAAAAAGGTATCTGCACATGCCAAAAAAAAAAAAAAAAAAAAAAAGGAAAAGAAAATTACAAAACCCAATAAATACAGAAATTATTGCACAGTTAAAAGGCTCCACAATTTTTACTGCCTCAATCAACCCTCGGGTTTCCATAGGACTTCGCAGACACAGGTTGGGGTGGGGTGGGGGGGGTGGGGCGGCCGCGTCCCCTGGGGCCCCCTCCGGGGGGGGCGGGGCCCGCGCGGGGGGGGGCGGGGCCGCAGGGCGGGTGGGAGGGGCCGCGGCTGCGCAGACGCGGGGCGGGGCGGGGCGGGCGTCCCTCGGTCGGTCGGGTCAGCGTTCTGTCGCTTGGCAACGGTTCCCCCGTCCAGGGGCGCGGCGCCCGCGCGCCCGCGCGCTTAGCTCCTCTCGGCCTGCTCGATTTTGACGTCGTTAGTCAGCAAGTGCTCGCCGTGCCACTTTTTCATGTGTTTCTCCAGGGTGCTGTAGACGCTGAAGGGCATCTGGCAGATGTCGCAGCGGTACACCTCCTTGCCGATCTGCCCGTGCGTCTTCATGTGGCGCGTGAGCTTGCTGCTCTGCGCGCACGCGTAGTTGCACAGCTCGCACTTGTAAGGCCGCTCGCCGGTGTGGCTCCGCCGGTGCACCGTCAGGTTGCTGCAGTTCTTGAACACCTTGCCGCAGTACTCGCACGTGTCGCTGCGCCGGCCCTCCTTGGAGCTCGGCCGCCCGGGGCCCGGGCCGCCCAGGTGCGGCGTGCTGCCCCCGCTGGCCGTGCCGCTGCGGCCCGACAGCCCGCCGTCCAGCAGGTCCCCGGGCGGCGTGGAGAAGCGCAGGCTGCCGTTCTCGGACGAGTGCTCGGACGACGTGGCGAAGGGCGACTGGCGCGCGTCCGTGAAGCCCAGGAACGGGTCCTTCATGAAGTGCCGCGACGCGGCGTAGCCCACGAGCCACTGCGAGTACACGTTCTCGGACGGGATGAGCGCGGCGGGCGGCAGCTCCAGGTCCTTCTCCACCTTGATGCGCTTGGCCGCGCTGTTGAGCCCGGGGCTGGGCAGCGGCGCCGGCTTGCGCGGGAACAGCCCCGGGAAGGGCTCGGCGCCCGGCGCGAAGCCGCCGCCGCGCCCGTTGACCGCGCCGCCGGGGCCCGCGTCCCCGCAGCCGCCCGCGTCGTCGTCGTCGCCCGCGTCCCCGCCGCCGCCGCCGCCGCCGCCGCCGCCCGGGGTGCGCTTGAGGAAGGCGCCGCGCTTGGGCTTGTCGGCCAGCAGCTCGCCGTACTGCGGCAGCGCGCCCAGCCCCACGTTCTCCATGACCTTGCCCAGCACCAGCGCCTTCTCGTCGGCCAGCGCCTTGGCCGCGCCGCCCACGCCCACGCCCACACCGCCCGCCACGCCCACGCCCACCCCGCCCACGCCCACGCCCACCCCCACCCCCACGCCCACCCCCACGCCCACGCCGCCGTTCTCGCGGTTGCGGCTCAGCTCCGAGTCCATGCTGAAGCTCGACTCGGGCCGGCTCTCGTTCTCCAGCAGCAGCTCCTCCTCCTCCTCCTCCTCCTCCTCGTCGTCCTCCTCGGGCTCGTGGCCCAGCGACGGGTCGCTCTCGTGGTGGCGGAAGTCGCCGTCGGCCGCCTTGAGGCCCTCGCCGGCCAGCTCGCTGGTGCCGGGCTCCGGGGAGCTGGCGGCCGAGAGCCCGTCGTCGGAGCGCCCGGCCAGCGAGCCGGCCTTGTGCATGTGCGTCTTCATGTGGCGCTTGAGCTTGCTCGCCTGCGAGCACGCGTGGTCGCACAGCTGGCACTTGTAGGGCTTCTCGCCCGTGTGGCTGCGCCGGTGCACGATGAGATTGCTCTGGAACTTGAAGGTCTTGCCGCAGAACTCGCACGACTTGCTCTTGGCGGGCGGCTGCGGCGGCGGCGTGCCGCCGGGGGGCATGGGCGGCAGCGGCGGCGTGCTCAGGAACGGGGACTTGGGGCTGGGCTGGAACGGGTTCAGGAGCCGGTGCATAGGGTTGCCGCGGCCCGGGGACACGGGCGGCGGCGTGGAGCTGTTGCCCGCCAGCTCGCGGAGCCGCCGCGAGAAGTCCATGGCGGGCGAGTCGATGGCCATGGGGTTGAGGCGCATGACTCGGTCGAAGGCACTGGGGTGCTGGGCGACGAGCCCCATCTCCTCGGCACTGAGGCGGTGCGGGTCCAGGTGGTGGCGCGGCGGCGGGCTGAAGAGCGGCGGCGTGCCGGGCAGGCGGCCCTCGCCGAAGCCCGGGTGGTCCCGCAGGATGGGGCCCGTCATGCGCAGCAGGTTGAAGGGGTTGCTGTCGCCCAGGAAATTCATGAGCGGGGACTGGGCCACGGCCTCGGGTCCCAGCGGCGGCGGGATGGTGAGCCGCGGCGTGAGCGCGCTGCTGGCCGGCCCGGGCTCCAGGTAGATGCGGAAGCCGTGCGTGTTCTGCGCGTGCTGCAGCAGGAACCACGCGCTGTTGAAGGGCTGCTTGCAAGTTGTGCAAATGTAGCTGGAAGGCTCATCTTTACCTGGGGAGACACACGGACAGAAAGGCAGAGAGAGCGTGAGAAGCGGACGGGGGCGCGCCGCGGGGCCGCTGCCCGGGAGGCGCACAGCGCGGGGCGAGGCGAGGCGAGGCGAGGCGAGGCGAGGCGAGTCCCGGGTGCGCAGGCGCGGGGGGCAGGGGGGAACCCTTCGGAGCAGCAGGCCCGGGCCGCACCCCACGTGTGGGACCCTCCGGCCAAGACCCCACCCGGCCGGCCGGAGGGAGGGCTGTGGCCCGGTGGCCCCGGCAAAGCCCGGATCGCCCGGCGACCTCCACGAGCAACCCCACGCACGGTCCCTAGACCTCGGCTTGCCCCCTCCCCCCCAAAAAAGTGGCTCGAATCCCCATCATCTCAGAAGCCACACGAGGCCGCGTTTGTGGGAATGCCCCATGTCAGCGATAAAACGAAGACACTGGAAACAGACCGGGGTTTGTCAACCGTCAACCAAGGCACTACTGACATCTGAACCAGCCAGGATGATTGGGGGGTTGGGGGGGAGGCCCCACACACTGTAGAATGTTCAGCAGCATCCCTAGCTTCTACCTACCACAAGCCAGTCGCATTCCCTCCCCAAGTTAGGAGGATCCCAAATCTCTCCAGGCATCACCAAATGCCCCCTGGGGGGGGGGGGGGGAACAAAACCACAGCTCACTTCTCTCCCCCTCCCCCCCCCCACCTTGAGGACCACTGATTAGGCAGGATTTGATCCAAGGAGGTTCTAAAATTCACAAGTCAAACTCAACTGCTTGGCAAACTTTTTTTTTTTTTTAAGAGAAATGGCTCATACCTCTGCAGCATTTGGGATTGAGCAACGGGAAATTCTAGGGTTGCATACACCAGCGCATACGCAGAAAGTACCATCACATTCAAACACGGATGCGTAGAACAGAAGGAATTTAGCCTGTTAGGAAGCTCACTGCCCCCCACCCCCCCACCTATGGCCTCACACACACCCCTACCCAACGTGTGGAATCCGGCCCCCACAGGCCCCTGGGATCGGGTGGGATGGGGGGGCCACTGGCCTACGTGAAGCCCTTTTGCTGGCGTGCTAACCCGGAGAACATCAGATCTGACGAGGTGGTCAGGATGAACGGTGGCAAGTGTGGATCTGTTACCTACTGGCTCTGGTGACATCGGGAGCAAATCTTAGTGGACACTTGTGGCACTGAGCCAAAAACGTGACTGTCTCTGCCCATCATCGAGGCAGCCACAAAGTGGAAGCTGGACGTTTCACCAGAACCGGCCCCCCTGGAGCTTGGGGGACAGCCTGCTGCTCCTCCAGGCTCAGCCTCTCCTAATGCTTTATGTAAAGGGGCAGGTGCGGGCAGGCCCTGCTTTCTGCCAGGAGATTCGCTCACTAGCCAGGGAGGGGAAAGGCAACGAGACATCACAGCCCCCATCTTGAAAACCCCCCTTTTTTTTTTTTTTTTAAAACTTTCCTGTACCTGGAAGGTTTTAAACGCTGATGGAAGAATGGTAGCCGCAGACTCCCGGGTGAAGCCAAAGGTGCAAATTAATTTCCAGACCCCAAATCAGTAAGGTGACCTGAGACTACAGCAGGATGTGGAGTGGAGAAGACCCCCCACCACTCCCAATCTCAGCGGGTCCCCAGAAGACCTTCCGAGATCCTGCACAGAGATTTATTTTGTTTTCTGCACACGAGTGATGGACCCAGGGGGCTTCACGTTTAGCTGTAAAAACCAAGCGACTGCAGGACCCAATGCCCTGTTCTGCACAGGTTCGGCTGGACGGCCTCAGAGGGCAGACACTGCCCGCCCCACGCACTGCCTGGAGATCCTCTCAGAAACTCCAGAACCAACTGGGCCAGGACACCCGCCACTGGAAACCAAGATGTGCTGTCGGAGCGGGGTGCCCCACAGGGATGGGTTGGCTCTGGCCTCCTATTCCTATTTGGTGGAACGGAGACCAGTGGGCAGGGAGCTCAGAGACGCAAAAGAACTGTGAGATTTGGCTTTCACTTGGCTTTTTTTTTGCAAACAGCTCAAGGAGAATTTGAGTCCACTTTCTTTCTCCAATGTACCCCAGTCCGTCTGGGCAATTCCCTCTCCAACGTACCCAACACTCCAAGCTGTAGTCCCCGAGGTTTCTCCCCCGCCTGGAAAGCGAACGGGAGGCCTGGGGAGGCCCTGGCTGCCATGTTTCTCACGGGGCGCCCACTACACAGCGGCGCCAAGCCTGGGCCTTCCCGCCCAGCACGGCCCTCAGCTGGCAGAGAAGATGCCACCTCCTGTCCTAGCTTATTAGTTAATGTACTTGGGAGAACAGAGCCCTTTGGCTCAGAAGGCCTCACGAGAGAGCTGGCCAGAAGCCACGGTATTTAGAGTCCTCCTCAAATCCTTTTCTAGAGCAGGGCAAAATAAATATGTAATAAATAACAAGAAGATAAATAAAACGTCCCTTTCTGACACAGGAGCTAATAACACAAATGAAGCACCACATCCCACAAGGTCATAGATCTTCAAATTAAAGAGCGTTTCTGTCTCCTTCACCTTAGCTTTCAGAAACTCTTAATTAATCGATTTATGGCACAACAGCTGCTCTGGTTCTTCATTTTTTAAGTGGGACCACCTCCTCCTTTCCCCCAATCTCTCTGTACGTCGTCATCATCATCTCCTTGGGCTTCAACTCCAGAGCGCTTCCTGCGTCCTGTTCCACGTATCTTCTAGAAAGTTCCACCGCTGGTGAGGGATGCTGCTATCAGAAGAAAATGCAGAACTCCCTGGCAGGCCGGGAATCAAGAAGACTGTTCTTCAGCCGAAATGGCCGATTAAAACATTTTTTTAACTCAAAATGGCAGCTGCTGGGAAGCATGTAGCTACATGTTCTAAAGAGCTCAGATGTTTCCACTTCTTGTTAAAAAAAAAAAAAGGAGAAAAATGTTAAAAGCTACTTCTAAAACCCTGGAGCGGCCAAGGGAAGAAGTTACCTGTCTGTAATTCACCCTCGGGTAGGGAAGAGCGACTTGTCCATCCAACCAGATCCCAGGGCCGCTGTTCATGCCGGGGTGAGCTCTTCCTTCCCCGCAGCCCTGAACTGCTTCGGCTCCCAGACTCCCCTCGGCACGATGGCAAGATTCACTGCAGGCGACGGCCTTCCCAGGATCTGACAGCTTCTGACTTTTCTTTTCTTAAATCTCGCAGCCCTCAAAGGCCCTCCCTAGACAACTCTTTTCACTCTCCCCCAGCTTTTTTTTTTTTTTTCCCTTAATAAAATGTTCATTTCCATATTACCACTTCATGGCTCTCTCTTGCCTAGAAGTAGCCGTGAGCACTAGGGCTGCTCACTTTTAACAAGTGAACAATGTCAGAAGTCTTTGAAGAGCCACTCAGAACATTTTTCCATTCAAAAACTCGCTAAATATTTTACACTCACAGCGTACCGGTCACGGACAGCTCATTTTTAAATGCAATGCGAGACGCTAGGCGAGAGGACCGGCTCCCTCCGTGTCCCAGGCCCAGAGGTCACCCCCCTCCCTCAAGCGCACGGCCACCTGCCCCAGAGGTGAGCTGGAGGCTCCACGAGGGGACGACCGCTTTGCCAGCGGCCCAGGCGGGACCCACTTCCTACCACGCTGCCACTGGGGCTGCTGAGGCTCCACAAGGCGGTGGTTGTCTGGATTATCGTGAAGTGGCGCGCCCGGCAACATCAAACCCGGCCTACAGACCTAGAAATGTCAGCTGCACTGCGATCACTAAATCAGGCTTGGCAACTCAGGACCCGGGGCCCGTGTCTGTCCTTAGTTGCTTGTTCGTGTCCTCAGACACTTTTACTCTCAGTTGGCAGGAACCCAGACTGGATCTTCTTTGCTCTACTGGCTCTAAAGGCAGTCCTTCTGTTTTTCTCGAGCCTAAACCCTCCCTGCCATCTCTAGGCTCCGGGGGCCTGGGTGACGGCGTGGGTTCCTTCCTCGGCCTTGACATCACCGGCACAGTGAAGTTATTCACATCACCACCTCTTTGAGCCTCAATTTCCACATCAGGAGAGTGGGCCTAAGAAGCCTGCCTCTGAAGAGGGCTGCCCCCCCCCCCCGAGGAGATCCCTTATGGGGACACGCGCTATGAATTAAGCACCACGACGACAACCCAGACTTACATGAGTTGGGCTTTGTAGGTTTTGATATTTAGCATCCATCCTTGAACCTGGCAGTGCACGTTTCAGGGATGCTTCTCTGTGTGAGTCTGGCGGTAATAAAACCCGGGAGGAATTCTAATGCAGCCTGCCTGGTGCAGGAGAGATTCCATGGCAGTGAAAACTTGCAAACGGTGAGGGAAATGCCATTTCTTATAGCGACACTCCGGGGCTGACCGTCAACCAGACCTCCAGCGATGGAGTGCGAGTCTCCCTCTGCTATCAGAGGCTAGTTTTTTGTGTTTTTTTTAAATGAGCATTTAAATAATTGTTCCTCCTTATTATGCTAGTTACTCTAATAAGACCAATAAAGGTGGGATCCCTGGGTGGCGCAGCGGTTTGGCGCCTGCCTTTGGCCCAGGGCGCGATCCTGGAGACCCGGGATCGAATCCCACATCGGGCTCCCGGTGCATGGAGCCTGCTTCTCCCTCTGTCTGTGTCTCTGCCTCTCTCTCTCTCTCTCTGTAACTATCATAAACAAATAAAAATTAAAAAAAAGATTAAAAAAAAAAAAGACCAATAAAGGTACCAGGGATGTTCAATGAAAAAACACACCTTTAATTGAGTAATTTATTCAATGAAAAGGCCACAGCTGAGCGCGCCAGTTTAACGGGTCTCTCCAAAGGCCAAGTAACAGCACGTGGAAGGGCACTTGTGCCTGCGGGAGGTACAGCAAGGCTGTGCCACCTCCCAGCTCACACAGGGCCACGGGTGAGAGCCCGCCCGGGGCCGTTCTCCAGGGCTGGATGCAAAATGGGAATCCGGACACTTGGACGCTGAGAGCTGAGTCTTGGCGTCGCGCAGCCCTCCACCGTTTGCAAAGCGCTCCGCAG